TCCCCACCGGCTGGTGAGAATCCCACATGGCAAGCAGACCTCTCCTGTCTCACCTGCTGCTCCCCTCAGCAGTATATTTTGTCAGCTGCCTGTTCTGTTCCCCGCTCTGTCTCTGGTGAATCCTCTCAACCTCCCGTGCATCTGGCCTGTACCCCGGTTCTTATATAAATAAATAAATCTTTAAAAAAAAATCAAGCTTTCAAAGTAATAGGCTACCCTCCATCTTAAGAAATTAGAAAAAGAGGGCCTCCCTCTTTAAAATGCAACCTCCCTCTTTAAAATGCAACCTATGAAGCTGTTCGCAGCCTCTGCAGCAAGAGTTCATTCCCTGGCCAGGGAGCTACCCACATGGCGCAGCAGACCTCTCCTGACTCGCCCGCTGCTCCCCTCATCAGTGTATTTGAGTCATGAGTCAATCTGCCTATTCTGCTCTCAACTCTTGTCTCTGGTGAATCCTCTCATCCCCCACACCTCTGGCCTGTACCCCAGTTCTTGTATGCATAAATAAATAAATCTTTAAAAAAAATTTAGAAAAAGAACAAACTAAACCCAAACAGAAGGAAGCAATAAAGACTACGCCAGAAATCAATGAAACAGAGAATAGATAATTCAGAAAATTTAAAAACTCAAAAGTTTTTGTTTGGACAGCTGACGCATTTAATCCCTTATTTGTAATATATTCTATGTGACATTTCTCTTCCTTTTACAAACGCTGCGTTTTAACTGACCATGGCCTCTTCTGGCACACACTGGACTTCTTAGAGTTGGGGAAAATTAGAGAGGAGGTGGGCAACCAGAGAAGCTGCAGCAAGTGGTTTTGATTACTGCTTTTCTTGTAAGTCACAAGAAAATCTGATGACTTTGTATCTAAGTATGGTACAGTGTGTGTGGGTGTGGGGGGGCGGCCAGGATTCAAAAACAGGAGTGCAAAGATGTACAGCTGGGGCCTGAGTGCACACCGCTGGATGATCTCTATTGCTGAGGAAGCATTCTAAGTGTTACGAAAGCCAGCTTGGAAAAAGAGCTCTTGGTTTGATACCTAGAGAAGGGGAGGAAAAGCCAGGGCTATAGAGTATGAGGAGGTGACCCATTGTCTTCCAGTATATCTGGTATTTACTTTCTGAGCCCCCATTCCATAACTGGCTTTTTTCCTGTTAATCTGGTTCTCCTGCATCCCCAAAGTATACCCTGTGTGTCTGTCCTCTCCTTGGCATTTCATTTCCGCCCCCTCCTCCCAGACACGGGCTATGGGAAGGTCAGTACTAAAAAGCGTAAGCAGCAAGCTTTCCTTTATGATTTTAATTCCTTGGCTAAGTAAGTTAGGTGATATCAATGACTGTAGGTTTGGTCCTTGGAGAAAATGGGGGCCTTAGAAGATGGGAGGGTAAATTTTGGAGTTTTGTTGAAATGATAGAAAATATGTTTTCTACCTTTCTTCCCTGGAATTAAAAAAAGAAAAAAAATACTGAGTGGTAGAAAATAAATGTGCGACATATATCTGGTAAAGACATATACAGCAACTATAAGAATTCTTACACATCAACAAAAAAATTGAATTTTCAAAAAGGGCAAAAGATTTGAAGATATAATTTAGTGAAGGAGCTATGACTTAACCTGATTCCTGGAAAATACCCATTTGGCTTATTTGTAATAATTGACAAGTTAATCTTAATATCCCATTAAAATTCAAAAGGGCATCAGGAGAGACAAAACAATTTTGAAAAAAAGAAGAAAGTATTTGAAATTCAAAAGTCTCCATTTCAAAAGTCACTACAAAGTTACAGTAAGCAAGACATTTTGGCACAAACATAAGAATAAAAATGTGGATCAATAGACTAGAAAAGTAATGTTTGGTCATATTTATGGTCCATTGTTCTTCAACAACATGCCAGGGAGAGCCAATGGGGAAAGAATAGTCTATTTTGGCAAATGGTGTTGGGTCAACGGATTTCATTGTACAAAAGAATGAAGATGATCACTAAACTTACACCATGTACAAGAATTGACTGAATATGGATCAAAGACCTATATGTATGAGTTAAATGTATAAAACTTCTGGAGTAAGCATAGGTGTGAACCTTCATGAGCTTGGGTTTTAAGTGGCTTTTTTAAAAAAGATTTATTTATTTATGCAGGAACTGGGGTACAGGCCAGAGGTGTGGGAGTAAGAGGATTCACCAGAGACAGAGTGGGGAACAGAGCAGGAGGATTGACTCAAATACACTGCTGAGGGGAGCAGTGGGCGAGTCAGGAGAGGTCTGCTGCGCCATGTGGGTAGCTCCCTGGCCAGGGATCGAACTCGTGCTGCAGTGGCTGCAGATAGCTTCATAGTGCTGCATCTTAACCTGTTGTGACAGCAGGGAGGCCCCATAAGTGGCTTTTTTAGATATGATAACAAACATAAAACCTACCCAAAAAAGCATGGATGAATCGAACTTCAAACAAATTAAGAAGTTTTGTGCATCAAGAAAGTGATCATAATCTATAGGATGGGAGAAATCATATTTGATATGCCCTAGAATCTATGGAGAACACTTAATAATGAAAAGACAACTCAATTAAAAGGCGAGTAAAGGGCCTCCCCGGTGGCGCAGCGGTTGAGCGCTGGGTTGCGAAGCTGCCCGCAGCCTCTGCAGCACCAGTTTGATCCCCGGCTGCTCCCCGGCCACCGGAGGAGGGTCCCACATGGCGCGCAGACCCCTCCTGTCACCCGCTGCTCCCCTCAGCAGTGTACTTTGGTCCTTCTGCCTGCTCTGCTCCCCGCTCTGGCTCTGGTGAATTCTCTCACCCTCCCGCGCTTCTGACTTGTACCCAGTGCTTGTATAAATAAATAAATAAATAAATAAATAAATAAATAAATAAATAAATAAATCTAAAAAAAAAAAAAAAAAAAAAGCGAGTAAAACTTTTGGAGCCTCCCTGGTGGCGCAGGGGTTAAAGACAGCACTATCAGTCTCTCACCAGCCACTGCAGTATGAGTTAGATTCCACTGCAGCACGAGTTCAATTCCCAGCAAACCAGGGAGCTGACCCATATGGCACAGCAGACCTCTCCTGACTCGCCTGCCACTCCCCTCAGCAGTGTATTTCAGTCCATCTGCCTGGTCTGCTCTCCACTCTGTCTCTGGTGAATCCTCTCACTCCCCACACCTCTGGCCTGTACCCCAGTTCTTGTATGCGTAAATAAATAAAATAAATCTTAAAAAAATGAGTAAAACTTTTGATTAGTTATTTCTCCAAAGGAGATATACAAATGACAAATAAACCATGAAAAGATCCTCAACATCATTAGCCACTAGAGAAATGTAAACCAGAATCACAGTGAAATCTCCTTCACATCCACTAGGATGCCTATACTAAAAAGTTGGACGATAAAGTGTGGAATGGTTGTGGAGAATCTGTAACACTCATAGATTGTTGGTATGAATAAATTGTGATAGTTATGTAAGTCTCTGATAAACAATGCAGCATATGATAAACCGTATGGAAATTCCTTGAAAGGTTAAACAGAGTTACCATATGACCCAGCAATTCTATTCCTAGTGTTACGCTCAAGAAAATGGAAAACATATATTCACATAAAAAACTTGACAGGAATGTTCAAAACAATGTTACTCATAAATTAAGAAGTGAAAATAATTCAAATGTTTGTCAACTGACTATGCATAAAGAAAATGTGATATATTCCTACAATGGAATATTATTCAGTTATGAAAAGAAATGACATATACTATTCATGCCACAACATGAATGAACTTTTAAAACATATGCTAAATAGGAGAAGGCATGGAAGAAACGACCACATATTGTATTGTTTCTTTTATATGAAGTTTCCAGAATATGCAAAATCTATAGAGATAGAAGACTTGTTTTCCAGAACTTTTTTAAGTGGAGGGAATGTGGAGTTACTGCAATGATTTTTTTCTAGGTGTCTTATGAAAGTATTCTTAAATAGTGCTGATGATTGTAAACCTTGTAAATTTACCAAAAGCCCTGAACTGTATATTTTTAACAAGTGAATTTTGTGATATGTAAATTACATCTCAATTTTGAAAAGAATCCAAGAATTTATTAAATTATCAAAAAAGTGAGTTGTGAGGAATCACTTCAGTGAGATTCCTTTCAATTTCAATCACTTTCAGTTGTGGAGACAGGGCTTTTCTTAGTCTACAGCAAGCATTGGAAGCCTCCAGCCACAGCCAGCCACTATGGACTGATCTCATTTTCATTTAGCCTTAGCATTGCTTTGCTTATGATGTCCACAGAATGGGAGAAAGCCTTTTCCCCAATCCCCTGCCCTGGTTTTTCTGTCCTGTTTTTCACTTTGTCCAAATGTTTCCCATTCTTTCTAAGGAAACATTCCACTACTCTTTCTTCCTCATTTTTCATTCTTATTCTGGCTCCCTCCTTCCCCTCCCTCATGTGCTTCTTCTGTCATTTCTGTTTTCCTTTCTACTCACCTCTCTATCGCTGACTCTATTTCCCACCCATTGCATCCAATCTTCCTCCTCATCCTATTTATACGACTCTCTCTTAACTGTCAAATACGTGGAAAGAAAGTCTATTTTAAAGTATTTTTGTAAGAATTGTGTATTTTTGGGGTACTCTCTCAGGTGAAAAAGGAAGTGATTCTGATGCTTAATATTTCTTTAAGGAAAAACAACTCTAAATTAATTGCATGGTTGGTTTTGCTTTAGGGGCTGTAACCAGCAATTAAAAAAAAAAAAAGATTATCCACCCATGCAATATGAGTAGCTACAAATAAATAATTGAGCTAAGATACTTTCTTGAACATTATAAAGTGATTTGTAAGTATGAGCAGACACTACTGGTAAACACTGATAATATCTAGTGTGGTGGTGTTCACTGACAGTTCTTAATTATTATTCGGCTGCTCTGTGTGTAGACACGCCTGAGTTAACCATTTAGGCTATAAAGTGAAAGCCTCCTACACAGACAGTTTCGTTTCACTCCCATAAACTTGATCACATTTTCCCTCAGGAATGTCCTTTTTGAACTAAAAAAATATGGGATGGATTGCAAGTTCTTCTTTTGTGCAGCCATCTTCAGAATGACCAATTATTCTTTCTCATTCATCTGGAAGAGCGAGTAAGTACAAAAAGAATACCACACACCACAAGGCTGTCATCTCCTTCAAATAAAATTCTGATGTCTGGCTTGAATGTTGACATGTAAATTCAGTGTTTTCTTGTGTGAACAGATCAAGGGAAATGGATTTTCTCTTCACTGTCATTTTGTGAAGAGTTTTTCCATTTGTTGATAAAATGCTAAGAGAATGAACTGGTTAACTCACTTGTCTTCAGGATTGAAATCCAAGTGCCCAAAGTAGTGGTGTCAGAGTGATGAGGAGTCCAGATAATGATCTCAGGAACCTTCCCAAACAATGTGACTGTGTGATTAGAGTGGGTCAGGGAAGAGGCTGACTTAATTCTTTAGTCAGTTCTTAAGAGGCCAGCTTAGAGATAAAGCACTTATGTGAGAACTAGTCTAGTGTATTAGTACAACTATTTTGAAAGATGAGTGTTATTTTTAGGTACTAAGTTTTAGGCACTCTGAGGAGAGCTGAGGAAGGTTGACTCCACTGACTGACATTAGTGTTCAGCCAGCTGAACCTTTCAGGTCCCCTGGTATGCTTGAGGAGCTTGGTATTTGCTTTTTTTCGCCTTCCTTATACTGCATAAAGGCTCTATATCTGGTTCTGTTAACTCTTTAACAAAAATGAGTCCCCTCTTCTTCCTGGGCACACAGCTAGACTACATTTCTCAATCTCCCTAGTATCTAGGGTGGCCTGGAGACCGAATGCTACCTAATGCAATATGTGCAGAAATGATTTATGCCATTTCTGAGCCAAGCCATTTTAGAAATAGGTATATCTCCTCTTTGCTCTACTTCTTCCTTTCCTGATTGCATGCTGATGTAAGTGAAGCCCTGGGGAAAGAGAAGCCACGTGATAAAAACATATGAGTTTTAAAACGGAGAGTGTGCAGGAGGGTCACCCACCATCCAGAGACAACCACTTCTTATGTGAGCAATATATAAACTTTTATTAGGCTTGAGTATTATATATTTTGAGGTCAATTTATTGTAGATACTAGCATGACCCTAACTAAAAAGAGATTTGGGTGGCTAGTATTGAAGCACTGCAGTTAATGAAAGCAGCACCAAAAAAGGTACTTTGCCAAATACATGAGAAATGCCATTTCAAAAACATTATACGTTTACCTTTTCTTCCTTATCATCCCTTTATCATTGACTCACTTTGTGTTTTTGTCTAATTAATTTTTTGGTAGCAATATCTCTTTTTCAGAGCTTGCCCCCCTCAGCCCTTCCTCCCCTGTCCCTTGCCTTCACCCCCTGCCCTGCCCCCCAACACACACCAAACTGGACTGAGTTTGGGGAAAGTTCCAGGAAAATTTTCATAAATTCTCCCCTGGTAAAATTGAGAGCGAAAAGGGAACATGGTGAGGAGAGGATGGCCAGGGATGAAGAGAAAGGCCTTGGGATTATCAGGGTGTTTGAATTGTTTCCATCAAGATGATGGAGAGAAAGAAACAGCTGTCCATTAGGGGTACTGATGGATGTTTTCAGGTATGTTACATTGTGAAATTGCCATTCAGCGTAATAGAAATTGCTCACATTCCATCTACCTTTTCAACTGTCAAAAACTAGATATAATGTCAGCCAATTAGCCAGAGCCATCTTATTCATAAAGTCATTTTCTTGATGATTTTTGACTTTATGAAATATGGTAATGATCACTTAGTAGGCTTTGAGTGAAGTAACTCATCAGAGTGCCTCCTTCGTAAAATTGATCTCATTATTTCTATAGTTAAGGAAACAATTTATTTCAAATTGTTTTATCTACCTGTGTATAAGTTAAAATGTGAGCATTTTTGTTAAAACACCTTGTCCGTGAAGCACTGTATTGAATGATTGTAAATCACACAAGAATTCTGAGTCAGGTATTCAAGAAATAGTTATTGAGCTCCTTTTCATTTATTGGGTGCTGTTATAACTTGCTTTCTGTGTTTCAGCCAAATCTGTGCACTTTGTTTTCCCAATCATTTTTTGTAGTAGAATATGCAAATGTATACTGGCATCTTCCAATTTTTTGTGACGCCATCTTGTACGTTCTAGGTAGCATGCACAGATGATAGTTTAAATCCACACATTTGTAACCCTCTGGATCATCTAATTTTACTTGGAACTTTCATAGATCAAGTTCCTGAGAAATAGATTCTGAAATTTTCATGAAGAAAGTTAATTGAGAGATGTTTCAGGAACAATACTTGCAAAGAGTCAGGAAGCAAGACTGGGCAAAGGGAGAAAGTGTACCACCATGCAATTGCAAAAGAGGCCCTGCCTGCTCCTACAGGCACTAGGGCTGGGATAGTCCTTCAGACTAGTTTGAGACAAGGAATCTGGACCTTTTTGGATGCTGAATGTCCTCAGGGAGGACAAGGGAGGATTGTCTCCAAGCAGGCAAGTTAGCTTCATTTAGGTAAGGACAATTCTTGAAGAATAACTGAGTCGTGAGTCATCAGCAACCAATATTCTTCAGCCAGGGGCATGAGTTCCCCATGCTAAAGGGTTTGGTTGAGCATCCAGCAGCCTCTGTAGGCATAGCATATGGTGTATCATTTTGTCAAAAAGCAAAAACCAGGATAGGAGAAATATGAGAAAAAGGAGAAGAGAAGGAAAATAATAGATACTTGGGAAAAGGAAAAATAAAGAATAGTGAGAAATAAACTTTAAAAAAATGTAAGTGTACCAGCTACTATGATTGCACAGCACAGCACATTCTAGGTGCATAAAAGAATTAAAATGGTCAAGGTCACTTGGTGCATCAAAATTAGAGATACGGAAAACACCTGTGAATCATGTTTCAGAGGCTCATGCCAAATCCTTCAAAGTACATTAGAATGATGGGAAATGCATTCTGTTAAACCATTTACCAGCAGAGGTCATTTAGTTTGAATACTTCCAGAGTATGAAGAGGCACGTTTGATGAATATTGATGCTCTCAGTTAAGGAATTTGTTTAGCAAATTTGAGTTTTGGTTTAAGAATTGTGAACTTTAACCATCCTGTTGATGAGTCAAAATTATGTGTATTTAGCTTTGGAATCCATTATGAGAATTGGAATCCATTATGAGAACTGCAGACCATCTTGATTTGGCTTTCCCTACCAGCTGACCCTGAAATGAAGACTGAAGGGCTAGTAGTTTAATTGGGCATCGCAAGAAACAATGGATAGGGGAATGTTAGGAGCTTAACCTACTCTGAAACATTGAACACACACTTCACAACTACCTCCACTGAGAGGCAAAGAAGTGGGGTGTCAGTCACCCCTACTAACTGGCCATTGATAACGGCCACTTCTGGATCTGTTTGTTCTCCTCAACTTCAGTCCTGTATCGTGAACTGGGCTTAAGGAAAGCGTCCCGATGATGACAGCTGGGAGCCGCAGATGAACATACCTGGTAGGTATGTTCAGTTGCCTGGAGGCAGGGCTACAGCGATGGTCCCCGACAAATTTTTCTTGTTTTTGTTTTTGTTTTTTAAGATTTATTTATTAATACAAGAACCAGGGTACAGGCCAGATGCATGGGAGGATGAGAGGATTCAGCAGAGCCAGAGCGGGGAACAGAACAGGCAGACTGACAAAACACACTGCTGAGGGGAGCAGCGGGTGAGACAAGAGAGGTCTGCCGTGCCATGTGGGATTCTTGCCGGCCAGCTGGGATCGAACCCACGCTGCAGAGGCTGCGGACAGCTTCACAGTGTGTTGCTCAATCATCTGTGCCACTAGGGAGGCTCCTAACATATTTCTTATTAGGACACTAAACTTGGTTTCTACCCCTGAGAATAATACCATTTTGTCACCAGGAGAGAGAGAGAACCCACGTGGGTGCTGAGAAACAAAAGGAAACCATTCTGAGATGAAATTTTTCAGCATGAGACAGATACAGGGGGAGAGTTGGGACCGAGAGACACCTCACCAGGCGCCCAAGGCTACAGGAAAGTGTGGTGAGTGCAAATCCACGTGGGTAGTTTCTGCATTCATCCATTGGACCCCAAGACTTCTAAGCTGGAGGATAATAACAGAGTGGAAAGTTTTCAGGTGGCAGTTAACTTGATCCTGTGCCAGATGTATTACTCACTGCTCACAAAGCTCCAGCTGGTATTTACCATCCAACAAAAGAGGAAAGAAAAATGTTGCTTGGTTGATTTTCATGTCACATGTGCACGAGGCGTGAATGGTGTGAGACAACATGATGGGTAAGAATGAGAAAAATTTCCCATGGCCCTTGTTTATTTTTATCACAGGACGTCAGTTATTTCTACTACTTTGGGAAACGTAAGAATCTAAAGTGTTTTGATTCCTTGGCTAAATTTTGTTTACTAACCTCATATCTGAGGAAATAACATTTAATCGGCTCACTTCCTGAAAGGGCTTATTTCATATCCTTGATTCAGATTACTGGTGTGTGATCAGGGACAGCTTTGCTCCTCCCTCAGAGAGCTGAGGAACAACTTCTTGCCTCCCAACACATGCCATAAAGGCCAGAGCAAGAAATGCCCTGAGCCTGAATGTTCTCTTCTGTTCATACAAGGAAAATCCCTCTAAAAATTTCATCTATAAAAGAAGAAAAATTGACCAGATCATAGGATGTTTAATTCATTTATTTTATGAACTGCATACAGAGTGCTGAGAAGGAGGCAAAAAATGAGTAGGCCATGTCCCTAGACCATACGAAATTTATTGGCATTCAACACAAAAGGCATAAAAACAGTTAATTGTAACCCAATATGAAATGAGGTGGTGATGTCCTGGGAGGACATTAATGGTGCTGTGGCCGTTCTCTCGTTAAATCTTATAGCCTTTAGATTTCATGCCACATTATTTATCAGTTTTAAAAAATTCTGCCCTCAGTGGTTTCCTAACTCTAATGATACCAGGAAGGAGAGCTTATGAATTAGGCTTCCTCTGCTTGAAATGTGTGCAAACACCCACAATTCTGCATGTACCACATGCTCCTCTGGCTCCCTCTTTCACCCCCTGCTCAGCAAATCAGATCCATGGCTGGAAAGTTACCTTGAAACTATCAATCACTTTTGTTGTACTTTGCAGACGTTCTGGGGCTTCCTAAAATC